TTGATGACCATCCCCCAATGTGAGCACGTCACCCAAGTTTGGCACATATACAATGTTTCTCATTAAATGACATTTAACCTTACAACACTGAAACAAAGCCAGTGGTGTTTTAAACATATCAGAATTTTGCGAGGGAAAAAAAGTGACTGAGTGGACACCAATAAGTCCTAAGATGGGGGACCAAGCGAGGCACCAATGGCTTCCCAAAGTCAGGAAACCCCCAAGGCCCGGATCCGCCCAAAACCTCCATCCACACCTGAAGGAAGGAGTCTGCCAAGGTCGCCATAGCCTACCTGGCCATATCAATTTGATTCAATTTGGACCATGTCCAAGGCCGGAAACCGGCCAAAATTTGAAGTTTTGGGAGATTGAATCTAGTGCAGGATTTCTATATTATAGGCACATCACAGTGGCTGATCCTTTCAAACTGTTAAATTGTCATCCCTGACATTTGGGCATGCTGTCAGAAGGGCTGGCGATGTCTGGTTCAACTTGGACATTTACCATACGCCTCGTCTGTGCTGGCTAACATCCCGATTTATTTTCGGCATCCCCACTTGTTGGTCAATATCTCCCCACACATGCTCCAACCCTGACCAAGGTTCCAAAGGAGAACTTCGTTGAAAGCCGCATTGGGGACCCTAAACAGCTGAACCAACGGACCCATTAAAATGGTCATGTCTAGTAGTTTCTATATATATATATACATATAATTAAATATCATATATCCTATTCTAAGGGTAAGCAGTTTTTACCTATACATTCTGATATTCAGGAATACTCCTGCTTAACTCCTGCACCAACCTGCAGGGCCGTGGCAGCGCACCACCTTCGCGACCCTGGGTCCCGACACACGCGTCTGCAAACGGCGACAGAAGCCAACGCATCGTTGTGCTGCACAGGGGGGCAAAAAAGGGGGGTCCTGTGGACGGTCCAAGGCCACTATGTAAATTTGGGAGGTAATGCGAATTTATTTAGCTGTGAGTTTCATTGAACTGGTAGCCCCAGAAAACTAATAAACTCATGTACCAACCCTTTAATCACGGGTAGTTTTAAATACACTACTCTGCCTCTGTCTGGTACGGATTCATCGTTGAAAGGAAACACAAAAAGAAACGAGACAGAATCTGGGTCCCTCTGGTCTCTTCGGCCCTCTGGTCTCTCTGGAATGTAACTGGTCTTATCTGATATCACAATGGTCCTTACATAGGTACATGCCCCCCACCCTGCCAGTTGCTGCCCTGCAACAAAAACGCCCACCCACATCATTGCACACCCTCAAGAGACTTACCAATGAAAGAGTACCTATGTCACATGTCCATTGTGGTTAAAACTGTTGGGTGAATCCCCGTAGATCAAATTTAGATTAGAATTTGATTAGTTTGGATTTGGACTGGGCTAGACTAGACTGAATTAGATTACAGCAAATGAGATTAGATTTGATTTGATTTGATGGAGCTAGATAGACAAATGGATGGACAAAAGGGATGGATGGATGGACGGAAAAATCGACAAACAGATAGATGGATGGACAGGCAAATAGATGGACAAACTGATAGAGATAGATAGGTAGATTGGATTAGATAGGCTAGATTTGATAGATAGACCGTCAAACAAGCAGCCAGACAGATCAACAGGTGTAGACAGGCAGACAGACAGACAGACAAACAAGCATATAGAAAGATATAGATGGAGAAATAGAAAAACGAAGAGACAAACGGACAAACAAACAAATAGACAGACAAAGAATATGATTGATAGATTGTATCCCAATTCCCAGATTCACGGGAAAATCTAGAGAAAACCCTTGACGTTCTTTGGAAAAACCACGGTTTCCCGCAAATACTCCCAGTGAAACCAACCAACAGCGACCATTGCTCGTTGCTCCGCTGGCCGCGCCGATTTTCATTGATTTCTCTCACCGGCGTTTCTGTGGCATCCAAAGCCTGGGCTTTGTTGTGTCTGACAATGGGGTATACCCCCCAAATGTCAATTTGTTTAAGAGGGACATTGATGATAATCCGTCAAATTTTGGGGCACCCTAGCTTGAGACAAACCCACAAAGATGTAGACATAGATATAGATTCCATACTATTTATATAAATGTCTATGGACTTGATAGATATATCATCTGTCGATTCCACAGACATAGATGAGTTGCCCAAAAATCATGGTGAGTACTTGGGGATGCAGCTGGGGTAAAACAAATGGGTGTAAGCAGGCTACTAACCACCATAAGTTGCACACAACTCCCATGGTGATGTATCCACTTAGTTCACCGGAACTACACCCCCAAGTATTGTTCAAAATCCTATGTGATTTTTCACACCAAAGGTAGACGAAACAAAAAATCACATAAGTTATGGACGTTCATCTTCCAGCTTAAATATGATACAGTCTCAGGTACTGAGCCATCCCCAAACGACCACCACCTGTGATCATCATCTCCATCCCGCCTCCAAAGGTCGCGTTTTTTCGGGGTCTGGAAGGCCCATGACATGAAGAATCTCCTGGGTGGAAAAGTTTTGAGAAAAAAATGATTTACAGGATGTGGATGGGGTAATCTTAATAACTATATATAATCTGATCATAGTGAAAAATACCAATCACTGAACTGCCCCGCAGACCTGGGATACAGGGAAAACAGTTATTTTTGAACGCTGTGGCGCTTCATTGGTCTCCTTGAACAGGTCATGATTCGTGAAGATTTAGCTTTGTCTGAAACCAGTCCATGGTACCTCAAAATCCCATTGCTTGCTTATATTGTTGAAAATGTATCATCATATTCCATACTAAAATTGCCATGCGCTGAAATGTCCGACTCTAAAGGGCTGTTCTGAACAAGCCAACATAGTTTTTGGATGTTCATCAGGATAATCCCTTCCTCAAGGTGCACGAGGTGAACAAATCCCATCACTTTTTTTTGTAGCCTTCCTGCAGAACTATCAAGGTCAATCGCCGTGTCCCGGTGTTCTGCGGACGGAGTTCAACCAGCATTTTTTCTACCTGGGTGTGTCTGACAATGGAGAAATACCAATAAGATTGCAAACATGGAAAAACTATACATAAATGTATATATATATATGTATATGTGTGTGCGTGTCACTGGTCACCCAGCGCACTGGTAGCCCACAATCACTGTCAACTTGTCCTTCAGTCCAATGGAAAGCGGTCCAGAAAGATACTGAATTGTCAATGGGGAAGCCCTCAATCCAACAGTTGATACACCAACCCACTTGGAGTCGTCCTCAAACCCAATCTGATCTTCTACCAATCGTCCACCAATCCCGAATGGTGGCGAAGAGGCCGCTACCTGTTTTCCCTGCAACCGTGGCCTTGAGCCATCCAACCGGCGATCGCGGTGATCTTCGCCGCTGCATCGATCAACCCCAAATGGGCAATCGAATGGAGTGACAAGACATGGAAGATTGGCAAATCCACACTGGTCTATCTTTTAAATTCGATTGTTGACCCAGGTTACCTCAAATTTACGGTTTGCATTTTGCTTTAGGGTCAGGCTTTCATCGTATATTTGGAATTTTCCAAGTTGCAACACAGTGCGGAGGAATGTGGCATCCATGGGTTTTGTCAGGCAATCTGCCAGCATGATGGCTGTTGAAACCCACCTGAAAATTGTGTGATCCCTGGACCGTTCCTTAAGAAGCATGACTTCTATCGTCGTCCTCCATTCTTGACAATTCGGAACAGCGTTCTTCGCGATGAGATCGAACAATGATTTACAGTCGGTTATCATCAACCCTGGGAATTCTGTCTGAAGAGATATGTCGGGTCTATATATACCAAGCAAATTGAGGGTCCTCTACATATTCCCACATGCATCTGATCCAAGTTAACTTGTCAAGTGAACTGGACATGGAATAAGCCTCGGCGCTCAACGTGGATCGAACTACCCCTCCTATCTGTATAGAATGCCAAACAACTGGAGTGAACTCAGTGGTCTCGTTCTTGGCAAGTTTTCGTGTGCATGCCATTATGAACCATCCTTGTTGTGCACTGAGTTGCTTTGCTGATGCAAAGCTTGCATCTCCAAAGCTCGCGAAGCACACTTGATCGAAGGCTAATGGCCTTACGATCACGGCAGTTCCAGCATGTTGCTGGGTTTCACGGACGACGCCTTTCCCCCCCAACAATGTGTCTACTGTTGCAGTGGTAATGCCCTTTTGAAGGCAGGCAACTTTGGTGGCTATATCGGGTCTTGAGTGTACTGCTACATGTTGAAGGCTACCACAAAGTCCTCGAAGTAGGTGTAACTCATGGGAAGTTATGGGACTATCGTTTTCAGCCCCTCGGGCTTTTGGAATTTGTATGGGGTTGATTTTGTTGATATAGTTTTCTTGACTGATTTTAATTGAAAAGTCGGGTAGCTGTTCAACATCTAATCCTGAAAATTTGAACTTTCCGATTCTCGGCTTCCAAAGGGTAAAGTTTCGTGGAGTTTCCTCAGAGCTGCTTCAAAGTTTTCATTCCCCCGCCAATGCCGTCATCTACATGGGTGCCTAAAATACAATCTAGCTTCTTGGGGTTTTGAAGAAGAAAAAGACCATTGTCCAGGGGATGGGCAACCAACACTTTCTAGCCTTCTTCGAAATTCTTTATAGAAGAGAAGGGTTGCATCCACGCGTCCATACGCGTTGCCCTGCAAGAGACAGACCTTGGAATGGCCCATGCGTAGGAGAGCTTTGAATTCGGCTGGAGCCTCCATGGCGAGCTCTCTCTCACCAGATTTTCCTCTTAGAAAAGCTGTTGTGATATCAAAAGACTGAACTACCCATTGGCTACTGGCTGTGGCTTGAAGGAGGAGCATGCGTGAATCTCTGGCAAGGGTTGGACTACTGTCTGAGCTCAAAACACCAATGGGTGGATCTTGGAATCGCTTCACTACGAGACGAGCCTTGGCCTTTCAGCCGGTTGCTGACTGTGGGTCCTCCTTCCATGTAAGTATCCAGCGTGAAGCTAAGATCCTACTGGAATGGATGCGGTCTCTGGCTATGGCTTTGACAGTATTGGTATCCAATCAACATTTCAATTCCTTTTGTTTTGCGGCTTGAAACATCTCTTGTTCACTCTTGGAGAGTTCACTATAGGTCAGTCACTTCGTTTCGCGACTTCTTCGCTGCAGCGATCAAACACAGAAGGTGCTCTACAGGTTTTTGCAGGAAACGGCTCGACTCAACTGCTGCTGAGGGACATGAAAAGTCAGTGACGCACAGGTCTCCTTTCGAGGGTCCATGGCGGGCCAGACTGAATCTGAATCTTCAACAATTA